CTTGTCATGGCCTCTTGAAGAGGCAGCCTGAAGCGCGTTGCCGTAGAAGCCACCCTGTGCATTCACATCTGCGCCCTTCTCGAGCAGCATCTGGACGATCTTGTCATGGCCTTCATCAGAGGCAGCATGAAGCGCGTTGCCGTACCTGCCACCCTGTGCATTCACATCTGCGCCCTTCTCGAGCAGCATCTGGACGATCTTGTCATGGCCTTTATCAGAGGCAGCCTGAAGCGCGTTGCCGTACTCGCCACCCTGTGCATTCACATCTGCGCCCTTCTCGAGCAGTATCTGGACAATCTTATCGTGGCCTCTTGAAGAGGCAGCCTGAAGCGCGTTGCCGTACCTGCCACCCTGTGCATTCACATCTGCGCCCTTCTCGAGCAGCATCTGGACGATCTTGTCATGGCCTTTATCAGAGGCAGCCTGAAGCGCGTTGCCGTACTCGCCACCCTGTGCATTCACATCTGCGCCCTTCTCGAGCAGCATCTGGACGATCTTGTCATGGTATCCAGAAGAGGCAGCCTGAAGCGCGTTGCCGTAGAAGCCACCCTGTGCATTCACATCTGCGCCCTTCTCGAGCAGCATCTGGACGATCTTGTCATGGCCTTTATCAGAGGCAGCCCGAAGCGCGTTGCCGTAGAAGCCACCCTGTGCATTCACATCTGCGCCCTTCTCGAGCAGTATCTGGACAATCTTATCGTGGCCTCTTGAAGAGGCAGCCTGAAGCGCGTTGCCGTACCTGCCACCCTGTGCATTCACATCTGCGCCCTTCTCGAGCAGCATCTGGACGATCTTGTCATGGCCTTCCTGAGAGGCAGCATGAAGCGCGTTGCCGTACTCGCCACCCTGTGCATTCACATCTGCGCCCTTCTCGAGCAGCATCTGGACGATCTTGTCATGGCCTTTATCAGAGGCAGCATGAAGCGCGTTGCCGTACCTGCCACCCTGTGCATTCACATCTGCGCCCTTCTCGAGCAGCATCTGGACGATCTTGTCATGGCCTCTATCAGAGGCAGCATGAAGCGCGTTGCCGTAGAAGCCACCCTGTGCATTCACATCTGCGCCCTTCTCGAGCAGCATCTGGACGATCTTGTCATGGCCTCTTGAAGAGGCAGCATGAAGCGCGTTGCCGTACTCGCCACCCTGTGCATTCACATCTGCGCCCTTCTCGAGCAGCATCTGGACGATCTTGTCATGGCCTTTATCAGAGGCAGCCTGAAGCGCGTTGCCGTAGAAGCCACCCTGTGCATTCACATCTGCGCCCTTCTCGAGCAGCATCTGGACGATCTTGTCATGGCCTTTATCAGAGGCAGCCTGAAGCGCGTTGCCGTACAAGCCACCCTGTGCATTCACATCTGCGCCCTTCTCGAGCAGCATCTGGACGATCTTGTCATGGCCTCTTGAAAAGGCAGCCTGAAGCGCGTTGCCGTAGAAGCCACCCTGTGCATTCACATCGGCGCCCTTCTCGAGTAGTGCCTGGACAACGGTATTGAGACCCTTTAGAGATGCGAAATAAAGTGGGCGTATTGTATTTGGTTCCGGGTGCTCATTCCAATCACGGGCAGCGTTAAATAAATGACCCCAGGTCGTATATGCCGTACTATTTTGAAAGAAGTCCATAATGCTTTCTATAACGTTATTTAGGGTCTCCGCATGTTTGGCATGGTCCATCCAATACTTTGCCGAGTACTTCGCTAGCGGAAACTGGGCTGCGATATTGGTAATCGACTCTCCGGATTTGATACAAGTAAGGTAGGCTAAGCAACTCCGTGTTATGGAACCCCTGGAGTTTGGTTCGGAAAATTTATATCGAAATGGTTCCGGGAGTTTCGTAGATATTAGGTACTCTTTAACGGAAAAATGGGCCAACTCGAGCTGTGTCACCGTCTTCCCAGCAGATCCTGTCGTTACGAGAGAAACCAAGCTCGAACATAACCTCGTGATCTCGTTGGGACGTGGCAATCTGGAATTTTGGTCAAATTGGCCATAAGGGTCGAGGGGGATGGCTATTACATCCACAGCTTCTTCAACAGTCAAGGGCCGTTCCGAGTATATTAGGAATTGGAGAATTCGGACTGCCTTTTCTCTTCGGCCTTCGGGAATACTTGTGAGAATTCGAGAATATGTTTCGTTCAAGTCCTGTGGCAGAGAATCAAGGGCGCTCTGCAGCTCATCCTTGTCCAGGCAGTGCTCGAGGTTATCCAGTTGACATACAGCCCATCGGAACCTGTTTATGAGTAAGCATATGCGGCGCTGCTAGACTCGCAAAGTAGAACAAAAAAGATAAACAAACTTACATTCCGTTAGATTTTCTCCCAATTACGGATTCGATGTCTTTCAACACATCAGGTTTCGAGGTCCATCGCATGAATTCGCTGCTTTGTCGGAGTCTCGCTTCAGTATAGGAGCGAATATCTGCATTGACGAGGTTACTATTCAGAGGGATCATATTTTCCTTATCCATCCATCTACCAAGACGAGACTCTAGCTCCTCCTCGCGCCTGCTTGTAGCGATAAAGTAGACGTTCGTTAGCTTAGAATCGGACAAGGTCTCCATCCAATTTAGCAGTTCGGATCTAGCGGTGCATTCATCCAAAGCATCCAATATGATCTGAAGTCTGTGAGGACGCTGCATCATAAGATGGACAGCTTTAGATAGCGACTCAGTTGTTGGTTGCTTTTTGCCGTCCTCGTGCGAGGCAAATAGACTATTCAGCTCCTGTTGTGAATCGATGCATCGTGAATATAGCTGGAACGCAAGCGAACGTAAAAGGTTGTCAAGGTGCTGTTTGGCCTGGTCGCGAAAGTCGAAGAAGAAATCCAGGCACACATACGAGTCTGTCTGGATGCCCTGCAGATGGTCAAGAATGGTCGAGGTGAGGACCGTCTTGCCACAGCCCGCTAGCCCGTGCAGCCATAGGTGTCGGCGGGATCCCAACTTCCATTCAACAAAAGCGGCGCTATCGATAAACCAACCTCCAGTGCCTTCGTGGCGCTTCTCCTTTGCCGTATTAAGATTGGTTGAGGGATCGGGAGGAGAGAGCCACTTCTTGAGTTTGTCAAGATGACCGTCCGAATTGAGACTATCAACCCCCGCATATATACGGCTCGTCGTGGAGTGGATTTCCCGTACGTCGTTCTGAACTATATTACTGTTAACGAAGGTCTATTCCTCCCCTAGATGCGTGCCTGATATGAAGGTAATTGCACTACTTACGTTCTGCTAGTTTCCCTGCCCATGACTCTAGCGTGGATACCTTCTGAGGTTTCAACTCATAAAGAAGCTCCCTCGCATATGCGGCAGCTGTCAGCGCTGCATATTTATGCCATTCATCATTTTTATGCGAGTCTGAATAATCGCAAACCCCTCGAATCACCAGGCACGGAAAGTTATTCATCAAGCCCGCGGCTTCCATCTCGAAGCATAGCACGTTAAGCTCTGGGTCTTGGGCGTATCGGTCTCTCTCCGCTGCATCTTTCATGACGGAATTGGCGGATGCAATAGTGCCGTAGTGGACAATAACTTCACGGCTGATAAAACGTAGCGGACGCTCCTCCAACCCGCCAACTTCGCAACTACTGCAGTTCTTCCCATCCCTATGGTCATAGTCGGCGCGAAACAATTGGTCTTGGGCCGGACGCCGGTAGTCAGGCATATCATCCATGAGTTTTAGGTGCTCAGCGATTCTGTCCGGCTTCTTTGGGTCATTGTGGTGACGTTTGATACTGGGGAGCGCTCCTAGAAGTACCGTTGGGGGAGCGTTTAGCTGGCCGGTCCGCTGGAATCGACCGTCTGACTGCCGTTTTCCTAAATCGTATTGCACCACGCCTCCGAACGCGCCCCGTGGTGCGCTGACCACAACATCACCGAGTCGAATGTCTCTTTCCCGTGTTGGAGCGCCTCCCCCAATGCCCACCATTAAGGCGAACTTCAAGTTGGGGAACGATCGGACCATATCTCTAGCGACGATCGCTGCAGAGCTGGCCCCATACACACCATCTGGTAGGCATCCAATGACCACACTATGTCCATCAATGCGGCCAAGAGTGTAGGTATTGTTATCATTGATCTCATTCGTCTCAGGACCATCAAATTCTTCGTCAAGCATCCGACATGCAGCCTCGTATTCTTCTTGTAGGGCACATATCCAACCAATCGTATAGTCTTCGATAGATGGTCCCGGGATGGGCATGGTCGTGGCTGTATTGAGGGATTTCTTTTGTTCCGACATAGAGACCATGGTGGTATTGGATGGTTGTTGTTTGGACGGCCCCGGCATCGGGGAGGCCATGGATAGGAGTTTTTGTCGATGAGAAAAATTCCAGCGGCCGTAGCGACGACGATATTGAGCTGGAAGGAGCAAGAAATGCTTGGGAGTTTTGTGAGAGAGATCAAGATCGCCGGTAGGCTCAGACCGTCGAAGGTTTCGGTAAAGCCAAATCGCTATAACGTCATTCAGAAGAAGAACGGATTCTGGGAGTTCTCGACGAGCTATTATAATGTCTTCGGTAGATGGGCGCGTAACAGATGATGGCTAGCTGTGCAAAGATAAAGAAATCTGCGACCGACTTGTTTTTCGTTGCGCGGTTATCGCGGGATGATTGCGGGGTCGAGGAAGCTGACCGCTGTAATTGGCTTGCTTCGCTGCCAATAGCACTGACGTGGCGGAGCGGGACAGTGGCGGAGCGGGACAGTGTCGGCCAGGCTTTCGTTGAGGCTTTCCACTTTCAACCCAAGTCTTGTCGGAAGAAGCCGTTAGGCTACATACATGGCGCACATACTAGCTACCTGTGTGGCCTAGCTTACAAAATGAGAACAGCCCCTACGCAAGCCTCAAAAAATAGCCCGAGTGTTACGATCCTGGCTCAAGTCTGCAGGAGGCGCTGGAAGCCGACTGCTGATTGGGCAGCACGGGCGGGCAGGACGGGCCCCACATGAGCTCGGTGCGGCCAATCAGGCGGCGCTCAGTGCGTTCGGCCGCCAAGGTTGGGAAGACCCACTGAGCAGAAAGAACAGCCAATTAGGGAAGTGCTCAGTTACCATTGAGAGCTCAGTCGTCCTTAAAGACTGAGCGCCCCGGAGGCACTGAGCACTGCAAGGGAGAACTCTGATTGGTTGTTCAATTAGATAAATACGATGACCGTACCCACGGTCTTAGATAGTTCTTGCTTGGTTCTTCAAGCAAGCAATACACATTCACTGCACTCATACACTTTGAGTGGCATTCCGATTTGACTGTATTACCCGTGCGATAGGAGCTTGCCCTTTGTTCTATCTTCATAATTACCAACCCCAGCATCCTGTGGAGCCCGTGCTCCCTTACAGACAGACGACCCTAACAGTCGAGTGGTTTGTAATAGATTGGTTACATGAATTAGATAAATACGATGACCGTAGCCACGGTCTTAGATAGCTCTTGCTTGGTTCTTCAAGCAAGCAATACACATTCGCTGCACTCATACACTTTGAGTGGCATTCCGATTTGACTGTATTACCCGTGCGATAGGAGCTTGCCCTTTGTTCTATCTTCATAATTACCAAGCTCAGCATTCTGTGGAGCCCGTGCTCCCTTACAGACAGACGACCCTAACAGTCGAGTGGTTTGTAATAGTATATTGTTGGCAACAGTCCTTCGAAACCTATTAACGTGACAGGTATATGGCTAAGACCTGAACCAAAATAATATGTAAATAACGGTGGTGGCGTTTTTAGCGCTTGGACAGAACTTTTGGGGTGCACATCCGTACTCAGCCCAGGCAGCAGGGCCGATAAAAAAACTCACCGTACATGCGATAATTGTTTTTATTGGTGGGGAAGGTCGCCACAGGGCTCATGTGACAGGATTGATCCTATTGGCTGCATTGTATTTAGAGTGTGGTCTATGCGCACTGCCTCCTACGTGCTCAGACTACCACCTATTTACCCGCGCCCTGCGCGATTAGATTCCTTTCTCTTCCTTAGCTTTGAATCCACATTCGTTACTGCCTTCAACCTTTGACTTCCCTACCTTCGTAAGGCGGGCCGTCACACTAACAGGCACACAGGGACTTAGCAGTGTCACCGACATTGGGCATGAGCCGAATCAGCATGAATTCCAACAGCCAGCACGATCCGGACAGCAAATCAGCCTCACACATTGCCTTCAGGAGAGTTGCTATCATCGGCGCTGGGCTGAGCGGGATTGTGTCTGCCGTACATTTGCTCCGTATCGGCATTGATGTTACCGTATTTGAGCGAGCAGAGGACTTGGGCGGAGCCTGGAACTATAGCCCGCTTCCAGATCGAGATCCACCTTTCCCCAACGTCCGACCGCCGGCTCCGGATTGGACCCGACTGGAACGGCTGCGTGCGGAGGGGCTGAGTGCCGAGGAGGCGGCATCGTACTTCGCTCCTCCGGGTCCGATATACGCCAATATGAAGAGCAGGGGCAGCAAGACAGCCACGCGAACATCTCTACTCAACTGGCCCGAGGGGAGCGGAGACCCTCTTGATCACGGCGAGGTGCTGCAGTATCTCCAGGACATTGCTCGCACATACTACGTGGAAGACATGATTCGCTTTCGCACGCGAATGGAGGAGGTATCAAAGACAGAAGGTGATAGTCTCTAGAAAATCCGGACCTCTAGGTTCATCGCGACACGGGAGGATTACGTGCTGGAAGCGGAGAATTGGGCATTCGATGCCGTCGTCGTGGCTACAGGTAGATACAGCGTTCCTCGCGTGCCTGACGTGCCAGGACTGTCTGACTGGAAGGGCAAGTTCCCGGACCGGGTGATACATGCAAAGCAGTACCGCACGCCAACACGCTTCGGCGGCAAGAGAGTGCTCATTATCGGGGCTTTTATCTCAGCCATCGAGATAACCAGAGAGTTGACCCGTAGCGGGGCAACCGTGTACCAGAGCGCAAATACAACCAGAGTCGGCTTCCGAGATCAAAACGAGAACGCCATCAAAGTCGCCATGGCGGCTAAGTTTGTCACATTCGCGCATGTCGAGGACAGCACCGTCCCACAGCAACTAGATGGCGACAGCCCCATTCCAGGACAGGTAATCCTCGAAGATGGACAAGTCCTGGGTACCATCTACCACGTCATAATAGCAACGGGCTACCTGACCACATTCCCCTTTCTCGGCCCCATTCTAGAGCAACCATTCACACCCTTGGATGAGGCGGATGACAGGGTTGTCACTACGGCAGACGGCAGAAACGTGCATAATCTACACGAAGACATCTTCTACATCCCCGACCCGACCCTGGCTTTCATCGGCGTTACGCACTTTGCCAATACCTTTTCCCTCTACGACTTTCAAGCTCAGGTTTTAGCCGTTGTTTTCGCAAGTCGAGTGCGACTCTCCCCCGAGGCTGCAATGAAGGCGACGCAGAGTCGGCGGAAGATGCGAGTCCTACCGGGGACGCTCCTGAATAGCATATTCTTGCTGAATGACATTGTCATTCGGAAATTTCTGGAGTGGGTCAATCGGGATCTGGTAGCGAACGGCTTCAAGTCACTCTCGGGACCGGATCAAGACTGGTGGAATGCTTTCAAAAAGGAGAGGGAGGGGGCTCGGCCCCTTTTAGGTCTATTGCAGGATAATTCCTTGAGCTAGCTTCATACAAGGTTGAATCATGCCTGTGACGGCGCCAGCCTGCAGCACTCACTACCACTGCGCTAGAACCCCCAAAAGGATGCCAGAATTGCAAGTTGACAACTTGTAACCTGTAGTAAGCTATATAGTACCGCTACGGCCATTGCGCGCCGTGACAATGCCGATAGTATGTCTCATATATACGTTAAGTTTCCTGTAGGAGTGGAGAGCAGCATCACAAAGTGATGGAACTTAAAACACTCCGGAGCGACGTATGACCGATATAGCCTCTGGCGCTATTCATCCCATTCGTTACAATCTTAAGGAAGCAAACTCTAAATACTATGTCCTATAATCTTCAGTACCGCTCTATAATTAGCTACTTCTTTAGCGAGTCCGATATAACAAACCAGCCCTTCCATTACAAAAACGCCATGAGCGCATCGTGCTTGCCTGTAAGGAAAGAGCACCCCAAACGCCCGGTCCGGCCCAGGCGCCACCAGCTGGCCCCAAACAGCTGGCCCGGCCCAGGCGACCAGCTGGCCCCAAACACCCGGCCCAGGCACCCGCCAGATTGAGCCACCCAACTATGTATATAAATAGTGGCCCTCGCCCACCTTCCTTTGCGAGGGCCAGGTTGAAGTCTTTTACCAATGCCAGTCATTGCTCGCCCTCTTGTTCCCTCCATCGTGACCACCTTGATCAGGCGTACCTGCCTTCTCTTACATTGCCCGACGCCTCCATCGCCGTATCAACTTTAGACAACCCTCGACGATATACCTAATACCGTTCTTAGTAGTGTTGAGGATTGGCCACAGCTTAAATATAACTACGTAGCGTTCTATAACGATAGCTAACGGTCACTAGGGCCGGCCGGACTATCCATACTAAAGACATTTTGCGACGATGGCTTTAACGTGACGTCTTTTGAACGGAGAAGTCGAGTTGGAGTCCTTTGGGCCTATACCGAGGATCCCTCCTGCAGGACGGCTGAAGCGGTAAAACCGAGAAGGAAGCAAAAAAGTGTAAAAGGTGATGCTTTTTCTAAGGCTAGGTGGGCGCGGCGGATTTCCTTAAGGTAGGAAATCCCCAGACCCCGCTATGTCACGTGCTAGCGCCGAACGCTATTAGTGGGGCTCCCACCAGCGCTTCACGTAATGAAGCTATTTACACTTTTCGTGCATCAACGGCGTTGCCTCGTAAGTTACCTTCACTCTCCGCTAGTAGTCGTCGAGCAATCGGAATAACCAGTAAGCTGCTAGGTTGTCGCGTCAATATTAGCAAATTTGTAAGAGAAGGTAGGTACGCCTGATCAAGGTGGTCACAATAGGAGCAACAAGCAGGGCGAGCAATGACTGGTATTGGCGTAAGACTTCAACCTGGCCCTCGCAAAGGAAGATGGGCGAGGGCCATTGTTTATATACCTGCTCAGGGGTTCGGCCCGGGCATCAGTCTGCGGTCGTGGCGCCACGGCGTAGCGTATGCCAGCTGGCAGTGTTCTAGCCAGTTGGTGACAAGTGGTGGGCGCGCACCCTGTGCGCGCAGTTGGTGTTTGGGGTGTCCTTTTCCTTACAAAATTCACATGCAGGTATTCCGATTTCCCCATGTTCGACAGTGAGTTCTCTTCACTGTGGAATCTGGATTTGGCTCATTGGTCTTCACAGGATTCCACATATATATGAAACCTGAGCACTTCCAGATTTATGGACGAGTATGCCAAGCACTTTGACCTCCTCCGGCACATCGTCTTCAACTCCAAGGTCAAGCTTGCGAAGCGGAACGCCGAGGACACCAAATGGCTGCTTGATGTTGAGCGCGACGGCACCACGGAAACGCTCGAGTTCGATAAGATTGTGTTTTGCCATAGCTACCAAACACTCGCCAACCGGATCAACTTCGAGGGGCAAGAGTTGTTCGAAGGCACCATCATGGACTCCCAGGAGTACCGCCGCCCTGATGCCTTCAAAGACAAGAATATCGTCGGGCGACATCATCCCCACTCTGGTCCCTGTAGCTGCCAAAGTCTACATCGCGCATCGCCGGGGATCTCTCCCCTTTCGCTGCTACCGTAAAGGCACTCCCAACGATCTGCAGATCACCTAGCGGCGGAGGCAGATGAGCCAGTTCCTGGCGCGCTACTTCCCCAACTTCACTCACCAGCTCGGCGACTTGACAATCTAGCTTCTCGTGCGAAACATCTTCGGCAAGCTGGATCCGAGCTGGAATCTTACGCCATTCCCCAGTATCAGTTTCGTGTTGCCGGGTAGCTACGAGGAAGTGATCGAGCTTCTCTAAGACGGCAAGGTGGAGTTGCTGTCCGGGCTGAAGGAATTCCTCGGCCCGCGCAGCATCGAGTTCGAAGACGGGCGCACCATCGACGACGTCGACGCCGCCGTCTTCTGCACGGGCTACAAGGCGGACTGGGCGATCCCGCCCACCGCGAGCACCCCACGGCCCAATGGCTTGTTGCATAAGGGACCTTTGGGGGAGCGGGGACACGCAAGACTCTCGGGCCCCACACAAAGGGGATTTGGGTTCAGCTAGTAGAAACTCACCACAGGCAAAGGCGCAAAGCCACTCATGCTCAAGCTTTTGATCTTCGATATACCAAATACCTCTCATTTTCTATGACACCAGCGTTCTACATACACAAGCCACTGCACAAGACCTCTCCCAGGTACATGACCCTAAGAGTACCCACAATCCCAGGTAAATAGCCTGTACGGCGTAATCTTCTCCAATGTCCCGCATTTGCCACATGCAAGCTTGGAGGGGTCATGATCTTGTGGAATCTTCAGGCGCTAACATCAGTACTAACAAAATACGTCAGGTCACAGCGAGGATTCCCCACGATCTCGATAGAGGTGTATGAGCGATCGTCCCCTAGGTGAGCCTTCAGGAGCGCGATTCTGGTGATTTGCAGAGGTGCTGATGACGGTCTATAGTTAGGTTTTCAGGGGGTTTATCTAGAATGTGCAATGCCCGTGAGGATAATTTGGCCAAAGGATAAAGATGGGCTTCAGCGCAAGCCACTGTGGTCGGGGCTTATAACTAGCTAAAGTGAGTGAAGCACTAGGTCTAACTTTTCTGGAACATACAGGGCAGTTCGGAATAAATATTTCTCAATTGTGAGGCTCTTGCCGGGCAGCTAAAAAGACATGCCGCACGTGACTGGGTGATGCGGAGATTCACCCAGCTGTCTCCCATTTTCATTTATCAGCCAATCAGGACGCACATACAAGACCCACAGTGACTCGTTAGAATTCTGACGAGTCGCTGTGGGTCAACCGCGGGGTTAGGTCGGGCGTTGCTAGGTTCGACAGTTAAATGCCTGGCGCAGCCTCATTCAGCGCCCAGGATAGCTTTGCGACGATCACTCGTCAATACTAATGTACAATATCCACTATGCCTGAACGCGACCTACGTATGGAGCCCGAGGCTACGGTCCGAGACGCCTCAACGGCACCTGTCTCATCCGATGTTCCAAGCGTGGAATACGAAGTTGAGCTTCTCTTACCCCGCAGCGAAGCCAAGCTGGTCGAGACATTTCGCCAAGAAATCCGCCTCTGTGAAACCGACACACAGAAATTCGGCAAGTGTATACAAAAGCGAGATGAGCTGCTGGAGGAAAACGATGGGTTCATCCTCCGGCTAACCGCCTTCGAAAATGTCATGTCGGTCGAATGCACCTCGTACAGAGGAAGGAAAGAGCGTGCACGCCCGCTAGCGACTCCGCCGGGGAGAATAGTGACAGGGGACGGCGCAGCAAAGTGGGACCGATTTGTAGGGGCTGCCGCGGTTGGATCCGACGCTATATCCAAACTCCTCCCACCCTTGAAGATGGTTAGCCTACAGTGGGGCAAGGATTTCGTCCAGCATTACCAGTTGGCCGGCAAGGGGCAGAACTACTGCAACAAGTTCTCAGCGGCGGTGAAATTGCATACCCTGGAGAACGGTGTGCGGAAGCTAAACCAACTGCTCCTTCGACGGTTTCAGATACCGGGGCGTCGTGGTGTCAGGGCAGGGGTGAACCCCATTGAGCCAGTGGATTTGCAGAACCTGGCTACTTGGAGGGACGAAGCCCCATTTATCAAAGATGGCGACCCTAGTGAGGTCCAGCTACCGTTCGTGGACCTCACTTCTAAAGATCTTCCTCCCGGCTTCATTTTCGATCGATTTGGGCTTCTGGTTCGGCGCCCGTTTGAACCTTTGGCAGGAGCGGACCCAGTGGATTCAGACACTGTCACTGGAGAGATCATCGATACGACTCCGGTAGACACGGAATCCAGCAAGCTATCCACCAACAAGAACGACAAGGATACTAGCACCACAGAGCCACTTAACAATATTGACCTTACATCTCCTAGGACCCACCGATTATCAACACCCTTAAGTTTGCCACCAGATTCCCTTGTTGCAGAAATTCTCTTCAGGGATTCTACACCTGGACTGACCGACATGACCCCGCCTGGCGATAGTAACGCCGAGGACTACCCTATTCCTGGAAACATACCATCCAAGCAGACTCCCTCCTTACAAGAAAGGCTACTTAATGGCCATGCGAGCGGCAGCGCTACCGAAAGCTGCAATGATGGTAGTCCCCAACCTAACATAAATACCACAGCTGCTGCACGGCTCCGCCCGCAAAAGGAAAAACCAGATTACTACGAAGTGCCACCAAGGAACTCCAAGCCCACAATTCGTCAAACTAGGCTGCCAAATCCAATAAAGTTGCCCAAGGAGCGATGCTGTCCGCCTCAAATACCACCATCACTCCTAGCCACACTAGACAAATCAGATGTCCATGGAGTCCGGCGGCTGCTAACATTCACGCCGCCTCACATTCGCTTTCAGGATATGTGTCATGCACATCTTAAGAAGTTCGCAGAGATAGCAACCAACGCGGAGCCCTTTGAACGGCCATTAGAGGCCAAGGAGGGATTTCGAATGTTTAGCCCTGACGAAGGGTCCCATCTCCGACGGCGCCGCACTTCGCTTCCGGACATCCTCGACAATACCCCCCTAAAAAGGCTTCGGCTTAATGACCCGGCACCGATTCAGAACTCTCTACCCACTGCCTTGAACCAAGGGTGCTGCCCAACACAAGATCCAATTCGCGACGAAGCCTACCGCCAGCGAGTGCTAGAAGAATTCCAATCCGCAGAGGACGGTCTCGACTCATGGGGTAGGAGAACAAACGATTTAGTCGCCCAAATTCTCCAAAAGAGCAAACCACCAATACGTGGGGAAGCATACTTTCTCAACGGAGAGGGGGCATTCCAACAGGCCGAGTTGGGGCGAGTGGACATACCGATCTTCACGCAAAGTCAACAGCCATTTCAATGGAGGGGAAAGGACCGCCCAGTTTCACAGTTCTTCAACCGTATGGAAGATATCGGGCTTAATCGAACCGTGTCTGTTCAAATACCCTCTCACCCCCTACATAAGGCATCTTGCGAAAGGAAAACACTTCTGGATGTCCGAGACCGGTTCCTTCTGCAGCGGTTGACAAATAACCCCTGGAATCTTCTCGACCTTCAAAGCCCGATACCTTCAGCCCTGCCATCTTTCTTGGAAGGAGAGAATTGTCAGCTTCTCCTCCGAATACGCGATGCAGTTCTGATGGGCAACAGTGCCGAAAGGATAGCGGCGCCCGCCCAAGATTGGAACACTTGGCGTAATGTTACAGACTGGGCGCTCCTGTCAGAAGGGGGCCATAATACGGCACCGCATATGGATAGCCACGGTTACTCGACCTGGATTACGGTTCAGGAAGGGCGTGTGGGCTTCGGGTGGATGTCCCGACCAAGACAGCAGGAAGAAGAGGCGTGGATGTCCGATCCACATAACTTTACAGGAGGAGATTGGAGATACTTCGTCCTTTCACCTGGGCATACAGTATTTTTTCCCTCCGGCACCATCCACTTTGTCTTTCGGGTACAAGGGGAACAGACGTTTGCGCTGGGTGGCCATATACTTCAGTGGTCTGGAGTTGGTCGTTGGCTTGAAGTGGTCGTCGCTCAGATGAAAACCCCGGAAATCACGAACGAGGATATGCAACCTAGCTCTTCAAAGTACGTTTGCATCGTCAAAGAGCTTCTGGAAAACCGAATCCGAGCGGGAAGAGCGGGGGGGGCAGGTGATCGAGACACAACTGCCAAGTTCTTCTCCTTACTGAAGGTGAGTTAGCTGTCATGTCTGTAATGAGCAGAGTAATGAGTGGACTAACAATAGTTAGGGATTTGATAATATCATAAAGGAAAGGTCGTGTATACCAAATTGAGCTCCGCGCGCATGGCTCACGTGGTTCTAACTGCACAATTTCAGTCGAGGCTGTGGCGTTACTGTTCATCTAATACACTGCGATGCTTTGGTTGAGCGAAGGTCCGGGTCTATTAGGAAGTCGACAATAGTTAGCGAGACAGAAAGGCTAGAGGAGTTGCTTAGGTATGAGAAGTCTATTCAAGCCTGTTTAAGCGGACAGAGTCTTAGTGATTGTCTTCATTAGCGAGCTAGGAGAGTAAAGGCATTATGGACTCCGGGTACTAGATTGCTTTGTCGGCTTTAATTTCGGCTCTGCTCAGTGATTCGTCAAGATATACAGCCATCTGTTTCTCATCATCCCAATCGTTACCGACCGCAATTAGCTCCAAACCACGCGTTGGTTCGAGACACCACCCCGTTGGCATACCTGTAAGGGTGTAGTTCACGCCTTTGACGCTGTCCGGGCACGAATGCGCTCCACTACAAGGCTGCCATAAGAAACCTGTAGTTGCGATACGAGTCGATTGTTAGCTAGCGGTTCCATCTAAGAGTTAGTGCTATTTGTTAGTTCGTTCTCAAAGAGACGCTTACGTTCCTAATACCCAATGCACAGTCGATAACATGATTTTTCAGGAGCTGTTAGTAGCCACAAGCTGACTTAAAGTCAATTGTGTTCCCTAGAACTTCATACAGATACGAGATTGCCGCTGCTTAGCCCTGGATCGGCACCAAGACGACCGGAGACGCCGTGCTGTGCATTAGTATACCTGCGACCTTTCCCTCTGGTGCCTGGCTGTCTGTGACGGCGCCAGCTCACAGCACCCACTACCACTTCGCTAGAACCCCCAAAAGGATGCCAGAATTGCAAGTCGACGACTTGCAACCTGTAGTGGGTTATAGTGTGCTACGGCCGTTGCGCGCCGTGACACTGTCCTTCTAACCCTGACCCTCACACTTCATTGCATTTTTCTATGGCAGGCACGAGTCCTTCACTACAGGAGCAAGCTCTTTCCTTCAATCTAGACAACTTTTTATGGCAGGCACGAGACCGTAGCACACGAGCAAGCTCCTTCCCTCAACTAAACCCAAAATATGAGCATCCTAGCACACTCGCCCTGCTCATCCTGTTCCATTGCGTGCCTATTTCTCAAACTCCTCAACCACCTAGCAGCTATCCCTCCATTACCCTAGATCTTGCCTCACATCCCATTCCTTCCACCGCGGAGAAGGCTGCTATCTTCCACCGAGGTGCCGACGGCATTTGGATCGCGGTATATGCGCAGAAGGGCGAGCGCCTAGTCTTGGCATATGACGGTATTGGAGAGGTAGGAGTGAATGGAGGCTTCGGGTCAGCTCGAGCTGCACGGATGAAGGACTACAGAGCCAAGCTTGAGCAAGATCCGTGGTTCGAGAAGGACTTGGTCGTTGGTGATGGAGGTATCTATACTAGCTGCATGACGAGTGCTTCTGGTTTTTGCTCGTTGACTTGGGCGGAGTGGCGTGTACAGGGTTGGCCGGCCTATCCTACAAATCAAGATCAGTATGAGGCTAGATGGGTTTGGTGGCCCACCGCGGATGGGTACGAGGATCCCGAGCCTCAGGAACCCTAGACTCAGGAATCCTCAGATATATCCTGGGAGGATATTATCAAGCGAAGATTTAAGTGCGTTTCTCGTACTGGGAAGCTGCCATCCGTGGAGGGACATTAGGGTTGAGTTATCTAGCGATGAAGATGGCGATGTCGATATCCAGTCGGACCAAGATGTCTCGGATGATAACGACGTTAAGAAGGATGATAACTAGTGGAATGGTTTGACGGGCGACGACAAATGGAATGGATTTAACGATCAATCACGGACAACTATATACGGATAATTATATAACTCTAAAATGAACTATCAGTCTAGGTTCCTGTGATTGTTTAACAAGTTTAACGACGGCCGCCTAGCACTTGTCAAAGTTCTTCTCGAGCTCCTTGAGCTTGTCGCTCTCGTCGACTTTGGCGTCGGCTTCGATCGCCAACGTCTCGGCCCACCCAATGGCGCTTGACTGGGTTTCATGACGCCGTACCGCTCAGAGGACGAGATATCATCAATCGTTTACCAAACTCTGGTGAGGATGCCACGGCGTGACCAAGAGTTCATTGTTGCTGCTGCCGCCGCTTGTCTTTTTGGAGCCGATCTGGGGCGGGCTGAGTTTGCTTGCGAAGTCGGCGGCCTGGGCGCACTCCGGAGATGAAGAGCTGCTCTAGGAGCTGGTTGTCCATGGTGATGCTAATATCGAGGCCCTCGCTCTTGCCTGCCTGGCTCATGCCGGCTAACTATTGTGTAGGCCGTAGCTTGCCTTTGCGGCTTTGACCCTCAAGAACTAATCTGCTTCGCAGTATGGTGAGCGCCGCCAGAGCCTCGATACTTTCAACTGGCCTTGGGGGCACCTCGATCGCACATCAAAAGCTGCGCCAGCGCCACCGTCTGGCGTACAAGTTCCGTCGCATCGTCTAGTAAAAGCCGCCGAGACCGAGAAGCAGGTGGCATAAGAACGAAGCCGTACCGGTGTGGCCGGCAGCGGTTGACCAAAATTTGGCTGGGACGAGAACTGGGCTGTGATTGTGGTCCCCCTCTAACGTTTAGCGTCGTCGTTGAACGACATGACCTACCAGCCGTTGCTGGCGGATGACTTGATGTGTGGCTATTCTTCCCGGGTGGGGTGATAACAGGTCCGATGATACAGTCACGCCTGGCGCTTGCCGCAGATGACGTCGAGATCGCCGTCGCGAGCGGTTCCCCTTCGGCTCTTCAGTCGCAGTATCCACTTGTATTAGGCCCGTGATCGCCAGCCCACCCGAGCTAGTCGTGGCTTTGAGTCTCGTACCGTGTCGGGTCGGCCGTCGCGGTATGCCGGGATAACCGTCGTCTTCGCGCTCTCAAGGTGAACGTTCGTACTACGAAGAGGTGCTGGTTGTCAATCCATGTAGTTAAGAAAAGAAGGGGAGGGGGATGGGCTCCAACTATCATAACAAATAAGCATCGCCTCATCTTTAGCACGGCGGCGCGGCGGCGTGAAAAAGGTGTAACAGATCGTGAGCGATTGACTGGCCAGATAACGTGAAGTGTGTGGTTACAGCCCAGAAAGCGTCCGCCTCCCAGCTAAAACCGTGCCGACGACGTCGTCCCAATGCTGGCCTGTGGTGTCGCACGCGCGATTCGCTTCCGCAACCGGCGTTCTGGCGTCTACGTGACCGGAAGTCGTGATGCGAGGTTGTTCTCGGCTTGCCGATTGCTTGCACAAGAACGCACGGCCCTGATGTCATGGCAGAACGGCAAAGGAGGTGTCGCTGGATGGGTCCTTGTTATTTCCCTCATTCGCGGCGGAATTGTGGCGGGGTTTATGGCCCGTGCTATCTAATCTTTCTCCCTTTGCCGAAAGGGAAACATTGCCGACCCAACAAGGCGCTGTTGACGAATCTGTTAGATGGGTTCGAGTTTCGCCCAGGAGAGTTCGTCAACGTGCGCGAACGCCGCAGTCTGCGTGGCAGTAGCGCTGCGACCAGGGATGTGGCAGCCTACCTTGACAGGCTTGGAAATGAGAGTACTTGGTTATCACTTCCAGCCATTCCCGCGACAGGATGTAGATAACGGCATGCCAGATAGCCGAAAGTCTGAGTCCCTTCACCATGAATCAATCCTGCCAATGTTCAGGTCCTTCCCTATGGAGACATTGCCAGACCCCGGGTTTTGAACGCCCTGGCCGCGGAAGATGTGTTGCGCAGCTGGACGGTTGCCCATAGACGAGTCGAATCCATGCTGACCGACGGCTGCTGTCGTCGTGGAAGGCTGCGGCAGGTCCACATACGAAAGGAGCCCCTTAGCGCACCCCGCAGCCGCAGCCGCAGCATAATGCTACCAGGCATCGTTCTTGTGTGAGTCTGCGTAATTCGAGACGCCCCGGACGACGATGCGCGAGTACTGGGTCGCCATGCCCGCCGCCTCCATCTCGAAACACAGGACATCGCCAACCACCCTCCCATCCATTTCGGTCGCGTTCGGGGCGCTCCGCATGACTTGGTCTCCATACGCAATAAGCCCATAATGAATCTTGGGGGTCGGTTCACGCAGCGGACGCTGGACCCGTTTTGTCTTGTCACAGAGCTGACAGGTGGCTTGGTTGGGGACATGACGATATTCTAACTGGAAGAGCTCATCCGGCTCTACAGGCCGCTGGTACGAGACGCGAACGTCGTCGCTTTTCTGAAACATGGCCGACAGGAACTCAGGGATCTTGTTATGCGAAACCCTGTAGTCGGACCGCATAATACCCACAGCACTCCTCAAAATCTCGGGTGGCGGCCAAAGGAATCCTTTCATGACAAAGCCGTCGTCCGTGTTCTTGCCCAATCGTACTGAACCACGCCACCATGCTCGCCGTCGGGCACACTCACCACAACGTCGCCCAAGCGAATGTCATTCTTTCCGCTTGGCACGCCTCCTCCGATACCGACCATTAACCGAAGCTCGATCGACGGAAACGTACGCACCATATCCTTTGCCACCGCCGCTGCCGCGCCCTTCCCCTGGCTGCCGGGAAGGCTAGCAAGGACCACGTTGTGGCCGCTGAGCTCTCTGAGGACATACAGAGTCGAGTCGCCTAGCTTTCTGGGCAAACGGGCATGTTCTTTGTCCAGTGTCACGAGCCTTGGCAGGGCAAACCATAATGGCCCGTGCGCTCTCGGCACCCCACTATACCCCCGCACCCTCGATCGTACCTTTGTAGACTTTCCTTCTTTCTTTCTTTACTTTAGAATCCTAAGACAATGGTATAGCCATTCTCGCGACTCTTCTTCCTAGATGCTGTTGACCGCCGTCACAGCCGGAGGAGGATGATTGTTGAGGTGAAAGTTGTGGGTTGGCCAGGGCATGTCGGCTCGCTCGAGGGCTGAACCAAGTCTTCGAGCTCGTGCACGCTGAGTCTATTTTGCTCTGGGTCGTCGTGGATGGTGTCAATGCCTCCCGACCCGAAACACATTCGGATCGAGCACAGAAAGTACCTGAATTTGGCGCAGAAGCAGATAGTTGAACTTGGGAAGACCAAAAGATACCATTATTTGGCTGCCTCAAGTTTTTATCCAGCTCCCAAGAGAACATTGGAGTGCTGTTGGTTACAAGGGCGGCAATTCGACCTTCTAATCATCCTCTTGCGCTTCATCTCGTCTCTAGAATGTCGGGAGCGGGGTTCTCAGGCAAGCCTGGCTCTTCTGGCATGAGTCCTAGAATGACCTCAAATATTTCCGTGGCTCGACTTCACCGCAGTCCCTGGCCGAGAAGTCGGACGCTTAACAATCGACAGCACGCCAGTCGCGCCTCCAACAGGCCTTTGGCAAATAATTCCTAACCACCATCGCGACTAACAGTATCTAGCGCAGGCGACACGTTCAATTCAACAAAATAACGAGGACGCCGTAAACGGCGCAGACTCAGCAATCGCAGGCGCTGCGGGCATTGCAATTGCGATCCGGAAAGTTATGTGTAGAGTTGAACGTTGGTATTGAGTGGCTGCTACTGTTCACTGTTGTACTCGATCCTTCCCCGGCCTCACGCTGCCAAGGCAGACGTCTCGCTATCCGAAGTGTAACCTCCCACCCCAAATGCTTGGAACCGATACCCAGGAACGGCCCGGTTCGCATGCCCCGCAGCCCGAGCCTTTTCAAGCTGCGCACCCCACACTACAGGCCCTACATTCACTCAATGGGAGAACCTCTGAGCCTCTCTCTCCCTACCAAACTTCTCGCAAACAACCAACCACCGACTCAGAACCCACGAACAACTTGGGTCACACTTCTTATTCCCGCCGTATCGACGGATCACACTGCTCGGCAACGGAGTGACATTTTTGCTGGCAGAACGAGTCTCTAGAGCTCAGCATCTTTGCGCCTAACAATGTCGCAAGCCCTCGACTTTGCCAAGACCACGTTCAGATAATTATGTCACGACTAGCCTGAGATTCTCAACCTTGAGATCGACTTCACAGGCGAGCGGGGACGGCTAGAGCCGGGATTAAAATTTTTGGCATTGGCTCAAATCCGCTTACCTTTCAGTATGTTCATACTCTTCCTTCGAGGTATGCATCGCAGCTCTGACCCTTCAAGTGCCGTCAGAGACAGGCACTTCTGAGGAGGATGGTCTGGCCTGGATCGTAAGGGTGTGTGCTTCCAAGAACTTCAGGATTGGGTTGGCTGCCCGCATAACGTCGAGCTCCGAGGTAGGGGGGAATTGGGCGCCTAGCGTAGCGGTTGAGAAGCTAGACTCATTGTTGTGATCTGTCCACCGATCTCACCGCGGCTACAGGCCTACCCAAGCCAGCCCCCGCCGGCCGTCCAGAACACGGGTTCTAGACGAAGTCACATCAGATCGAATGGGACGCTGAGCAACCCCTTGATTACCTTGCCCAGCTTTCGCCGCGTTCAGCTACGCATCCGTCGCGCCCTGCCGCCTCTCTTTGAGTGTAATCGTGCCGCCGTGCAGCGGCACCGTGACGGTGACCATGCTCGTTGAGAAGGCAGTATTTACCGCTTGGCTGAAAGACTCAGGTTAGTGGCAATGACGATTAACCGGCTGAAATATGCAAGAGTGAGGCGAGACATCTGAAGCCAACTTAGCGACAACTCTCCTACCTAAACCACTAGCCCTTCCTCCCCGCCGAGATTTAAGCCGTAATCGATAGCGCCCCCTCGGCGCCCAGGATACAATGGCTTCTACAACTGCCGAGACCGCTCCATCCCACTACATCGCAACAAACGACTCGGGCCACGCAGTTCCCCTACAACAAACCAAGGAAACCTACGACAAGTTAGCAGACCAACACACCTCCTTGATCCAGGAACCGGCCAAGGCCCAGCAGCTTGCAGCAGACTAGAGCGCCACCACGGGGACCAACATACAAATCACCAAACTCAGCAAGCAAGCAAATCGACTAATCTCGACAAAGATTCGATGGATTCCAACTCAGCAGACTAGCCTTCGAGCTCATAAGGAAGAGCAGGAAGAGGACGAACATACAGTCACCCCCAAGCGCTTATGCCTTTATATAGCACGAGCGTTAGATCGAGTCCTCCACAACATTAGCGACCGCGACGGGTTGTCACAGCAGGTGCAGACAGCTGACCAGATTTGGGTAGTGGTCCGTGCACACCATAACCACGTGACCCACATCACAACCCACTTCCCCTGCGCCCCGCCTAGGCCTTGGAAGCTTTCTTTCCTTTTTCCTTCTTTAGCTTTAGATTCTACGAATACAGCAACCACATTGCAGCCCTGCCTCTCTACAGTTGACTGTGCGGTGACACGGGTAGGCTTAGTGATACACGTTGAAGCCTTCTCTACGGCAGACTCCAGTTCTCTCGCAAAATCGTTAAATTACCCCGCGCTGCCTGTAACCCCACTTCCACTCTGCGCAGAATGGATTTTTCCCTAGCTTTCATTAGACACCAATTTCGCCCTTCGCGCCCAGTTTCGTACCGCCATAGCTCGCATCACCAGCCCTGGCCCAACAACGTGCACCTCCGCCGTCCAACTCGCCCGCATCGCCCACTTAACCACTAACCCGTCCTTTGTGCGGCCGCTCGATCCCACGCACGCCGCGTACTCGTCTCCCACATCACCTCGCTCAAATCCATCATCTCGTCGGCCTCCTTCTCCACGTCGTCTTCCTCCGTTCTTCCCGGCCTCCTGCGCCAACAGACCTCGACCCTGATGCACCTCATGCGCACACTTGATGCTAGGCACGGCCTCATGGCACGGCCTCATGGCACGGGTTCCTCGAATTCGTCGCCGCCCAGGGCGTAGACGGTCCTGTACGCGGCACAGCGCGGCAAGTACACCCCCAGGCGGTGCGCTAGCGACGCACGCGGCGCACCTAGACATTTGGCTACAACAATGAAGAGGCCGAATGCTGTCGTTGAGCGGGAGATACTCGGACTGACGGGCGAAGGACCAGGCCGTCGCTGTTCGTCTCCATGATAGCTGCCGCCACCATCCGCAGTTCTCCCCTTCCCCGGCTCAGCAGCGCACAATGAAGCGACCGGGTGATACGAAAGCTGCAGCGCCAACGTGACGTCTTATTTAACCTTGTGGGCAATCCAGACCGGCGACGGTCTGAGACACTCCATGTCCGCTGTCCCACGGCTCGTCGTGGTTTACCAGTCTATGTGGAAGTGGTACTATTCCGTCGGGGTGCACTTGACCAACTTGGATTAGTTCTAGGTGCATCCCGGAGAAGGCGTGGCTCTGGAAGGCGAGCGCAGGAGCTTCGATGCACCGCACCACGCCGTCGCGCCCGGTTTAGGTCTTCAATACTGACGCCGATGCGCTGGATTATTTGCATCCGACTTCTCGACCAGGAAGGAACTGCGGTGAAGTCGGGCTACGAAAATATTCGTGGTCGCTCTAGGGGCCTGTGCCAGAAGAGGCAGGTTTCGCCGCACTCCAAGCCGTAGAAACGACCTGATCAGACGGTGCATTTCTACCCTAATATGGCCAAAGGAACCCCATTATTACTATGAAACTATTACGTTAATAAGGCCACGCGCCTAACGATGTACTTAGCTCTTGCTTTCTCTATTTCCTACTAGTATACTAGGTAGATAGACCGCCAGTCTTTGACTGGCCACGCCATAGCCCTAGAGGCTGCATGCGTGTAATGAAGAAAAAAAAAAAGGCTCGCCAATCTAAAGTTAGTCCTGTAACTTGTGCCGAACTGCTACAGATCGCTACTCGCAGAGATTTTGGTTGCTAGTACGGTGGATTAGCGCTGTTGCGTCCTCCGTTTTGGGCAACGCTTGGAGTGCAAAAACGCCCACAATTTAGCTTTGTGAAGAGCTTTCAGCAGGCAGCGGCTGGCAGTTTCTGCAATCCATGTCCCAGTACGCCCCACAAACGACTACCCTATCTCCACATGGTAGGCAGAAGAGAATGTAGCAGAGGCTCAGTAGGCTGTAAAAGCGGGGATGACTATCTGGGAAAGTACAATCGACGCTCAGCATCTAGCACAACAATGTCCCATGGCAACGTATTCAACCACAAAAAAAAAGAACTGCCCTGTCTTGTATCTCGGCCGCTACCTCACCAAAATTGACGCGCGCAACAGCGCTGAAGAGCCCGGGAAAAAACCCAGACAACGGCACCACTGCCGCGCGCGCGCGCCCCGTAGCGGCGGCGCAGGAAGGGGTCACACAGAGGGTAGACTACCGGAGCCGCTCCGGGAAATATTTTCCACAGGCCGCACGGACCACCCGCCACCCACCAGATCACTCTCCTACAGCCCCCTACAGCCCCCTGCAGCCCCTGAACACAGGCAGCCAACGCTGCTGGGGTTGTTAATTATGAAGATAGAACAAAGGGCAAGCTCCTATCCCACGGGTAATACAGTCAAATTGGAATGCCACTCAAAGTGTATGAGTGCAGTGAATGTGTATTTCTTGCTTGAAGAACCAAGCAAGAACTATCTAAGACCGTGGGTACGGTCATCGTATATATCTAACTGTGTAACCAATAACAATGGTCCCACTGGCCCGTGGTCCCGAGACCTTGCGGTCTCGGGACGCCGGGCGCGCGGGACACTGTCCCGCGTCCCCGACCTTAAGTGGTTCCGAACCTCGGGACCCAGGGACACTCCTAATTGGTTCCTTCCATGGGACTCCTTCTGCCGGGAAAGGCGCTACACATTCCGATGCGCCAACGGCTCATTCCACTCAAACGACGGACTCCCGCAGGGGTCACCCTGGTCCCCCATCCTCTTTGTCCTGTTCGCTGCGATCCTGATACGACCGACGAGCCAAGGGGAGGACTTCCAATACCTTGACGATTTCGCTCAGCACACACAGAGCCACGACTTCACCCAACTGGTGCTACTCGCATCACACCGAGCGGCCGAACTCTCACGGGGAGCGGAAGCGATCGGCCTTAAGGTCGACCCGAAGAAGACGGAGCTCCTGTACATCCCCCCGCAAGGACGGGGCAGCCAGGCACGCCTCCCGGAGCGAGTCGTAATCGCCACGGCGGCAGGACCGGTACGGCCCTCCAAATCCATCAAATGGCTCGGGATCCACCTGGACCGAAAGCTCTCCTTCGCAAACCACGTCAGGGCCCGTTCCACGGGCTCCGGCCGCATCGCCGGACTGGCTGCACGGACGAACCAGATCGCCCGGGGCCTCCCCGTAGGGGCCTCTAGGGTGTTCTACGCCGCCGCCACAGTCCCCATAGCTACCTATGGAATTCCCGCCCTATTCCCGGGCCTCCGCCGGCTTGGCCAACGAGGGGACTCGTGATGCCTGATTGAGCGAGGGAGCGCCAAGACAGGGTCATATGACCAGCACGTGTAATTTAAGTACATAGGTACATAGGGAAGCGGGGCTTAGCCTGACGCGGTTAGACCGCGTCTGCCCCACCAAAGGACCACATTAAGGTCCTCGGCAGGGCAGTGCTCCCGAGCTTCCTCCCTTGATCATCAATTTACCTACCTTTTCACGAATAGCCTACCGCATTCCGTGATCTAGGTGACGATCACCCTTCAATCTTAGCATAGCCTGCTTTTTTCTTGGCTGTACCGTCCGCCATGTCTTCGAAGGAGACCTCCTCGTCGCCCCATGTGTGTGAGAGGATCGCGTAACGGGGGATCTCGGGGATCGCGTCATTCGGAATCGGGTTCGTTAAGCGGAGCTCGCCGGTATCGCCTCTTTCTAGGAGCCGCATCTTGCAAGGTTATCGGTTTCAGCTCGCAGCATGTATTTGTACGGTGCTCAAAGGATACGCAAACGGAAGGCTTCAAGGTCGTGGATCTATAGGTACAACGCATCAGTAGCTCAGCTTTATTCATCCCAAAGGCAAGAAATACCACCTACCATTGGCAGCCAAGGCGCGCAGTATACATCACAGTGGTCCCGATAGTACTTTGGCCCGTGATGTGATTGTTGTGGCCGACGTTGGGCTCGACGCGTTTCCCTGTCAATGCCTGTCAGAATCCCTAACCCCGCATGTCAGGCATTTTGGTGGCGTTTGCGCCTGACGGCTGGCGCCAACTGCACGTGTCAACGCATCGTGATTGGTATCTGTTTTGCTGGTGGGCTTAGCCACCTCCCTCCTCAAGATGAATGACAATGTGAAAAATGCCCTTTGAGGGCGATTGAGAAAAAGGACACGAAGGCAAACTGTACTTGGCGATGGGAAATACCAAGTTTGCAGGTAGCTGATGGATTAGCCACGTACCTGTCTGCGTCGTTGTACTGTGGAGAAAATCAGGTGCCGGGGCTGCCGGGGAGAGATGCGTCTGGAATGATGACTTCAAACCAGCCGCTGGCCCGCCGGGAACTGAAGAAGCGCTGGCACGGCACGCCAGAGCGCCACGGATTGCTGAATGCTGGTATCTCCCTCGTGGTGCGGCCTGGCTTACGGGGATTAACCCAGTCGTGTGCTATCCGACAATGCTCTTGTGTAAGACGGTCTTGCCGCGCAATATACTGGCACCGATCGCACTTCAGCCCGTCAAAGTGAGGTCCCGCCAGGTCTAGAATGGCTGGAACGGGACACGCCGGTAAAGTAAAGAAGTTGAGTGAGTCCTGGTTGTGGAATAAGCTGGGGAGTCGTCCGACAGCCTTTTGGATAGTTGCTCTCTGTTGGGCGCTGAGGTGCCGATGCTTCGTACGTAGGTGGTTAGTGACTTCTTGTATAAGACAAGCGTACCGGCAAGATTTACATATTAGAACGCCGTGTGGCTGCAAAACTTTGCACGGATCCATAACGGTACTGTTTTTATCTTTCAATTTATCAAGTATATTAACGCGTAAGCTATTCAGAGCCGCTGACGCGCGACGCGAAAAGACCCCCGTTTGATATTTGCTTTTTCCTCTCAAAGATCCAAGGCACGCTCACCTTGAGCAGCCGTACTACGAGTCGTCGTCCAAACCCTTACGCCTTCTGCCGACCGGATTGGCCAGCCCCACGCACAGCCAACCCCATCGTCCTCAATTGCCAAACCAACACCCCTTGCTACATCACGATATTATGATCGCACAATTCTAGAATTTAGTACTAGGATATTCCATATTGAGCGCTTTCTATGCATGCAATTTGCATCGGTTTTGACCCCGAAAACCTAAATGGATTCTACTCGCGAAGATTGAAATGGATTCTACCCCATGTCTGTAATTGTGGGTCGAGCTTGCCCACCCATTTTAAATGGATTCTACTACAATCCGAAGGGGAATTACGGTTAGGATCGCTAATATAGCTATACCATTGTCTAAGAGGTAGCAGATAGAAGTATGCAGGATACAGACCGACATTAACGCGATACATCATTTCCTTCTGCTAGAGATCGGCCAATGATAGGAAGAGCAGCAAACCAGTGGATTGCCGATAAATAACTTGACATATTGACGAAGCCGGCCCGCCTTCTTCTCTCATCAATCTGTCTGCCAGCTCCGAATGAACGTTTCAGCATCATGAACAACCGCAGATCAAAGTCAAGGCCAAACAAATTCAAGTGGGTGCCCAGCTCCAAGGCCCCCGTTGCAATATATCCGAATCTCCATGGCAAGGTGTTGAACGCCCTTGGCAATTTCATCAAACCTAAACCTGGCTTCGTGAAGGGGAAGCAGCATTCTCAACTGACACGGCTACTGAACAGAACCGCATTGGTGCCCGCTCAAACTGGAGAGTGAGAGTCACCCCGAGGCCCTGTAGTCCCCTCATCGTCTCTAGCTGAGGCAGATACGAACCCTTCATCATCTCCAATCCAGGTAGCTGCGGCGACTCCACCATCTCTCTGAATGTTTGTGTCTTTGGAGGGTAGAACTCCTTGGACGCCACACAATTGCACCCGATAAATATCTCAGCTTTGACAATTCTGGTAGGTATGTCCTGCTGGCTATCTTCCCAGGCTGGCTTCTTAGGGGGTATAACCTGGCTACAATCCACCTCTAGCCACACACGAGGCTTAGATTCCGGATTGTGGATCGCAAGCGCAGCGCTCAAGTTTGGCACCGAGCCAAGTGGGAAGTGAATTTTGCCCTGCACATCATGCTTACGAAACACAACGGCACGGCCTGGAAGGTGGTAGATCTCCACAGGCATTTCAGCGTCAGAAAAAACGCAGTTGCCATGGGTGGCGGCGGTATTGATTTCACCGACGGGGATTTGTACCAGCACGCTGTCAAAGAGGCCAATCTCAAACTTGAGAGCGGTCCGGAATAGGTGATTCCACACGCTCTTATTGGCAGAGGATGTATAGACTCCTCGATTCGCCTCGATGAATTCTGAACCATTAGTTAGCTAACCACCCACAATTGATAATACTGTTCTGGTTGAGACCTACGGGAGAGCTTTTTCCCATACTGGTCATCCAAGTTCGGTTCAATCCATGTCTTATAAAAGCGAGTACCTGTCAATTCAAATATGAGCGTCAGATGAAACCATTTTAACAAATTCAGACTAGAGCGTAACCTCGCACTTTTGTCAGTTCGTGGATCCTTGTCGAGCCTCTCGGCAATCCGGTTCCAGCCCTGGGAGTCCCAGAAGTTAGTGGGCAAAAATCAACTGCAGAGGTCTTCCCTAACACAATGGAATGTACGTCATCAGAAAGAGCAAGGATTCCTCACATAGACGCATGGAATGGTGATTATGTAGAGGCTGAACCAGTCATCGATCATTGTCTGGCTTTCCAGAAAGCTTGAATAGCCGATCTCGGCCGCACTGGGCTCGATGTCCTCTATGGCCGTGGCGGAAATACCAAGGTCGTTTACGCATATCTTCTTCCATTCCTCGGCGTAGTCGACTGCGCTGGATATCTTCTGACTTTGGGCTCGCAGGTCGCTGAACGCAGTCCTCGAGCCGAGCTTGGCAAAGCGCAGGGCTTTGAATCTGACATTGTCCAGGAGGTAGAGGTAGTCTTGCTAAAAAGAAATCTAGTCAATTTTCTGAATTTAAGTTCCTGGGAAAACATGTGAAGGGATGCTTGCCTTAGCGAACTCGTCATATGCGGACGGAGGTAAAAAGCCTAACGCCATTCCCTTACAGAAGTGATTATCGAGGAATTTGTCAAAGAGATCTTTATTGGCTTGGATGAGTTGGAAGATCAGGGTGCTTATAGTGTCAATTAGTACCTAAATTAACAATCTAATCGTTTTTTGAGTTGACAGCAAACTCACCCGGATGTGATCGAGTCATCTGCTTTCTTAATGTCTGCTAGGGGTGCTCCGCAGTTTGGATCTGTGGCGTCAAAATTGACGGTCTCAAAAAAGTGCTTGAGACGGCCCGACGCTACCAAGCGTGGGATTTCGTAGAGTGGAGTGTCGGTGTCCATAATTTGGCAACGGTGAGAACAGGATAACAAAATAAACCAGGAATCTTGAGTTCGTTAGAAGAGCCTAGGAGCTGGAGATGAGAGTGTAAAGGAGAAGGGTTCACTGAGGATATCACGGCTGTATTAACGCGTCCCGGGGGAGGGGGAGAAGATAAGGGATATACCAGCAACCTAAGTACAGGAAAGGGTCTCATTAATAGTATGGGATATGCAGATAACTGCTCTTCCTCTACAGTGGCAATTTTACGTAAAATCTCCGCCTAAATCATCTCTGCATTTGGGGTAACATTAACGCAACAGATAAGAATGCAGCTGGCCAATTGGATCTCTGGGAAGAACTCATTACCAAAACAGAGTAACACAACATTTCTCATCAAGAGCCTTGCGATGCAAGACAGTGTCACTGAGAAAACTACTAGCCTATCAATGAGCAAGGAATTTTAATTAGGGGTGTGTCAGGCTGGGCAAGGAAGATAATTGGCCGGGCGTACCGTCAGCGTTCCATCCATTAGTCGATTGCTGGCCAGTCGTCTTCCACAATCACCATGTTTCGCCAACCGCACCTTCTAGGCAGCACACCACCTAATGTCTTTCAGAAAAGCGGGGTTGCATGCTCACAATAGGATGGCGTGTCTCTCGGTACCGGTGTCGCTGGGCTGTCAGCGACGCCCTACTGCAGGTCCATCAGGCCACACCCGCGGCAAGCGGTCGAGCGCGACACAGAGCCCGCGAAAGGGCCAGGCGGAAAGACCTCATTTCTGCGCAATTGAGAACGCAGACTAGGCTGCTGAGTTGTTTGTACCTTCTGACCCACAGGCCCAAGCGGTTGACAAAAAAAAGGGTTACATTACCTGCCTAGTACATAGGCTACTATGGTAATTGTAGGTAAAACAGCGGTATCTTTTTGTACTACCAGCCGGTCATCTGACCGTTCCCTGCCATCACTTGCTCCATCCGAACTACCATAGAATCCACCCATTTGTTGATTGTCTCCTGACGGATATTCTCCACTGTCAGAAAGAAAGGGGTTCTGGCCAGAGGCCAGAACACCATGGAGGTGTAGATAACAGAGCTGAATAGAGCTCAGCTCAGCTGAGCTCTGGTATGTGCATTCGAGCTGAACTGACGTAGTCAGTTCAGCTGGTGGGCTAGATTTGCCACACTATTTTGTTACAATCTGGACAACAGAGTCCACGGAGCTAGGCCCGGCCTAGGATTGTGAGTCTTGGGACGACGTGGAGGAGGTGCTAGAAGGTAAGGAGTATCGTGCACAGATTGCGAAAGGTAGACTTTCAACACACAACCAATGTATGCTTAACCATATGCATTGATAGCTGCAGAACCGTTCTCCCAGAGAGCGTACTGCTAGCTCCTATATAGAACTATGAGCAACCAATCAGGGTCCTTCATCTACACGCTCTGCGGGTCCAGGGTGCTCTGTCCACAGAGCACCGGAGCCCCACAGAGCGACCGCTCCGTCCGCTCCGTTGGTCTTGGCAGCTAATCGCACAGAGCACCTCCTGATTAGCTGCACCAACCTCGGCGGAGGGTCCACCCCTCCTGGTTGCACCAGCCAATCCTGCAACGGCCCGCGGCGCCATCTGCACTTCTGGGCCAGGATCGTAACATATTCGCCACTATTCACAATTATAATAGTATGCTCTCTGGCTTCGCCAGAGAGCCACGGAGAAGCAATACAATCACACAATTACAACCAAGAGTGCCGTGTGTAAGGGAAGGCAGGTACGCCTGATCAAGGTGGTCACAATGAAAGTACTGAAGTAAGAGAGCAATGACTGGTATTGGCAAGAGACTTCAACCTGGCCTGAGCTAAAGAGGTGTGCGAAGGCCATGGTCTATATACACGTGAAAGGGGTTACGAGTCATCCTTGCGTGGCCAGGGTGGTAGTGGCGATAGTGCTTGGCCCTGTTAGCGGTGGCGATAGTGGCGATGGTGGCGAGGGTGGCCCTGGTGGCGGTGGCCATGGTGGTTACGAGGGTGGTTTCCTTACAGTGGCCCTGGTGGCGGTGACCATGGTGGCTACGAGGGTGGTTTCCTTACAGGTTTGTTTCTTACACTGCACGCATTCCGTATCACTAGCTTACTGGGCAGCGATGATATTACACCCCGGGTATAAAAGAAAGTTGGTGGATAGGTTCTTAGGAGAAGACCGGGTCAGGGAGGTATACAGGGCATGCCGTAATCTATATCAGGATGTATATACCCAAGTCGTCATCCCGGCGCCGATATAACCGGATGAGGAGGCCCGGGGACTTTTCCTATGGCTCACGACTACTAGGACACGCCTGAGGACCCCAACAATAAGGATGAACTAGCTAAATACCTTATAGAGGATGTCAGGCCGGTAGGTAGCATACAGGCTTGGTGGTTTAGTCGTCTAGATCGCTAGCCCCGGTTGTCAAAGATGCCTCTAGAATTAATGACGATTCCGTCGATATTGTCACGGCCGGCTTCGAATGAGGGCGGAACTCCTCTGTTGGGCGCTATAGACGAAGATTCTAAACTAAAGAGAAAAGGGAAAAGAAGCTCAAAAGCCTCCCCTCGCGAGATTCTTCCAGGGCGTCTCAAGGTGGGGCTCTGGCCGAGCTTCCATTAGTCAGTTGGGTGGATCCCTCTGGCTGGTCGGGTGGATCCACCAGGCTGGCGTCTGATTAGTCAGAGCGTCTGGGAGGCCTGGAGGACCAGGCCCTCACAGATATCAATAGACCCGGAGAGGGCATTCAGCGGAGAAAAACTCGTCATTAGCACGCAGAGACACAGTATGGTTGACGATACCTTCAATAACACCATGTATTTGAAGAATTGGATGCGAAAATGAGCTTTCCCGGGCTTCAGGGCTTTTTTTTCTATCTCAGGGGACTATTTTAATGACTTTTTACCTATTTTTTAGTAGAGCGGAAGATGGCGTTAAATATTGTCAAATGAGACCCACTCAATCAAATCGAGCTTAGAGCCAGTCAAATATCCGGTTTTTGGGGTCAAATCCAAACAAATATAGCCTCATATTTGAATCGTTTGATTTTTTACTAGCGCTGCTCTCTACCACCTCCCTCTTCCTCCCTCCTCACCCGGGACGGCCTCTCATTCATTCTCAGTTGGCTCTGGCGCGCGTCAGTCTCGCTCGCCGCAAGCGTGCTCATCCTAGTCGTCAACTTCAAGTGCTGGCGCCCGAGCACGCGCGCGTGGCTGACTCTGGCGCTGGGGTTCGCGCAGGCGTACAACGCGCTCAAGCACACGACGCCGCTGCTCTGGGGCGGCCCGGGGTCGTCGCGCGCAGTATCGTAGCACCGCCTACGCATGAGCGGGTTCGATTTGCCTCTGAGCGGGGACTGGAGAGAGCGAGAGAGGGTGCTGGGGGCGCGGCGGGCGGCGCCGTGGAGTATTAGGCCGGAGCGTGCGAGGGCATTGGGGTAGGAGGTGCGCGAGTGTTTCTTTATCATGTATGTGCATACGGGGTTGTGTGTAAGCGTAGGATGGGGCCTGCATCTGTGGTTTGGGTGGGTGGAATGGACCGCCAGGGGGGGAGCTGGGTTGGTGAATTGCGTTGGCATTGTTGTAGCACTATATTTGTACTACGTATTTAAGCGGATATTCTCTGAGGATGATGATTAAGTAGGTAGTGCTATTTAGAGTTGTTCCTGTATCATGAGGATGCGACCAGGCTTTCTTTTCCTTTCTCAAACCAGTTCCTCATTAGACGCCTACCTTCAGGTTGCAGCATTTTTGACACATTTTCCGATTCAGCCTACCAGGGTTTGAGCAGCTATCAAGTCAGAGCGATTGTCGTGTCTGTATTTTCCGGTACCTGAGGTGTGATGTGCGTTGGCGCGGCGAGCAATCGCTTACTGAGACTCGTTCCGTGACGCCCGTTAGGTCAGCGGAGTTATGACAACCGATTCGCAAAACTAAGAGTTTTATAAGGCGTACATATCATACTAAGGCCCGATAAACCCCAGACTTCATCGCACGGTACAGCCTTGGGTGGCAGTTTTGCCACATCATTTAGGCAAATTTGTGGGCATGACCCACCGCATTCCAGTAAGCATATCTACGAAAACGTGCGCCATAGTTCAGACATAGTGGCAGACTCTGTAGTAATTCGTAAGTATGGCCGTCTCTCTTGCCGGCTACAATTCAAGGAGCTGGAAGGCTAGGCTGGGAAAGGAAGCGCATTTTACTATACTCCGTACAGCTCACAACATCCGCATTGATTGTCTCGGCCAGCGCCGACAAGTCTCATCATGCAACAACCTAGACTTTTTCACAAGGTCTGCATCTCACTTCCCGTGCTCATCACATGGGCAGATAACACAGTAGACTGTCCAAGAAACACGCTCGAGCTCACCTAAGCAGCGCCCAATCTAAGAAACGCCACCTTCCGGCCAGGGAAGTGGGAAGGAAAGAAGTCCCTAGACAAGTACTGCGTCTACGTCAACAACCACATAAACGGCGGCCTCGTGCTGGTCTCAGCCGAGAAGAACGTCCACGTCGTCGACAGGTTCCCAAGCGTCGAGACATTCGAGCACGACGGCGGCGCGCCACCCTTCTACGCGACCGAAATCCCGGCA